CTCCCTGGTCTGCTGGCTCCCCCAGCAGACCAGGGAGACGGGGAGCAGCTTTTCTCGCCCCAGGGCGAGAAAATCCCCGTTCGTAACTGCGGATCCGACATAAGTCGGATCCGCGTAACTCAGGGACTGCCTGTATAGTGGAAAAAGCCATAATTTAATTAGTTTGGAATTGTGAATGTGATTTAGGAGATCTGACTACCTAGTAAAACCACATTTATTCTTTTGATCACACATACAAGTCAAAACAACTACAGCAGAAGAGAGCATCACAAAACAACAACAAAAAACCAATGGTTCAAGGATACAGAGATCAGTACCTTCCATCTGCAAGTTCAACCCCAAAAAACTACCCCGCAAGGGTTCCAACTTACTTCAGGAATAGTACAAATGAGGAAAAATCTTATGTTATGCTATAACTAAGGATGTTAACTATTGGTTAATTGAATAGTCAAGTAATTGCATGAAATCTTTGCAGTTACTCAACTATTCTATAGTCTCTGAGGGTGGAGCTGGTAGCCAGTGCACTCAGCCCTTACTCCCAGAGAGCCCCCTGTTACCCCACACTGTTGCCTCTAACAGAGGCAACAGTGTAGGGTGCCAAGCAGGAGCCAGTCCACAAGAGGAACTGGTTGTTAAAGACCCGCTTTACTGCCTCTGATACAGGTCTGAGCTCCCAGACTCGGTGCAAGCCAGAACTGAGCCAGGCTGCCTGCCCGCCCAGCTCCTAATACACTTCAAATGCAGAACCGCAGCGGGGGTGGGTCCCGGACTCGTTTCAGACCCGGGCTGCTGGCCAGCCTGCTAAAAAATTTACTGGAGGCTGGGGGAGGGAAGGGGGAGTGAATGGGTGTAGTCTATAGCACTAACCGAAAAGCTTTTACATATTGGTTAATGACTATACTATTACATGGTGGGAGAGAGGCGCTCTAGAGCCAAATCCCAGAGCCCACGCCCTTCTGAGCCATAGTCCCACACCCGTCCCTTTTCCCCCCCCAACTCTGTGCATCTAGCGCAGCAAGAATCCATCTGCACCTGCAGCAGACACAATTTTCTATACTCTGGCCCCTCCCCCTTGGTAGTACAGTCCTCTTGAGCCATCCCCGTAGGAAGCAGGCAGAGACATGGCTCCGTTCCTGACCTCAGAAAGGGAGAGCTGGGCTGCCCCCACTGACAGCTTCATCCTACTTAAATGTTCTACCCAAAGCACACAGGACGCCTATTCACCCACCACTACAATGCAGCCACCTCTGGGGTGGAGCATGGCAGCTATTTAACAGCTCCCCAGCAGAGCGGCAGTGTGGCTCAAGGTGGAAAACAAAGGGTGATGGAGCCAGATGAAATTCAGGAGGAGCTTTAGGTGGAGTTGGGGTGGGCTGCTGTAAGGAAACGGGGGCAGGGGGAATCAGCAGTCGAGTCTGGGTTGGGACTATACAAAATAAAGGGGCTAAAATCCCCCCGGCTTTGGCAGGCGTGCTCCGGGGGGAAATGTGGGGGGAGCAGTTTAACAGCTGAGGTGCTCAGCCTGACTCAGCCAAGGTTGAGCGCTGCTCCCAAAATAGCCTCTTCCGTCCTTTCAGAGACAGCGTTTCCAGCTCACCCAGTGGGAATGTCCCCTCGGGGCCCCACGCTCCCTGGCAGGGCTGCCTGGAGGCAGATCAGAGAGCCAGTCCCACCACCAGCCCAAAACCTGAGAGGACGCTTTGGAGGGCGCAACCTCCTGGACCCTCCACCAATGGTCCCACTAATCGTTTCCATATATGTGTGGAATAAATGTTGTTGTGTGCACTAAGGCATGTGTGAATGTGCACCACCACTAGAAACACAAACCTAGCTGTGGGTAGTCTGCTATCTGAACCGTGGCCACTTGAAATCCCAGAGACTTGGCAGTAACCTGCTGATGGCAGCAGTGGGAGAGAAGGTGTGTTTGAAAAGACCCAGTTCAGGTGTGTTTCAGATTCATGCCACTGAGACATTCCTCCTGGACTAGGAGGACAGGGAATGCTTCGAGGCGGAGGCAGCTTGCGCTGACAGGCACTTCTGGTCTCCAGTGTGCGGTGGAGGAAGGGCGCAGAAGGGTTAGAGATCTGGCTGTGCCCCTCCAGCTGGTGAGTCATTTGCATTGATCCACAGCGAAGGATGGTCTTGAAATCCTTGGGGGGGATGGGAAAAGGTGTGGGCTGGACCAGTGATGTGCTAGGCAGGCAGGCGCCGCACAGGAAGTGCAGTGATTACGGCTGGATTGCTCCACCAGGGATCGATTCCAGACTCTTAGAGGAAGGTGTAAGCTCTTTGGGGCACATACGATCTGTGTTTGTACAGTGCCTTGCACAATGGGGTTGTGGTCCGTGACTGAGGCTCTCGGGCATTACTGCAGTAGAAACACAATCCAAAACAAGCGGGGTGGGCTGCGGGAAAGTCTGCCTGGCCACGGCCGCAGATGAGCTTTTGGTCTGAAGCCGGAGGATTGATGGCCCTTTGTCATTTTCCTCTTGACACCTGAGGCCACCCCTGCTCAGACAAGTGTGCAGTCCCTGCAAGCTAGTTGTGTCCTGCAGCAGGGCGTTCTGAGAGTTAACCGTCTGAGGGGTGAAAAGGTCCTTGACTCTGGACCACTTTGAGTAGGGGAGAGGAAGAGCAGCTCTGAGCAAGTGTAAGGTCATGGGGAGGAGACGGGGGTGGGTGGGAAATGCTGAAAACACACAACTCTTGGGAGCTGCGAGTGCCCAACTCCCCAAGAGGAGCCCCCAAAACCCAGGCACCCTAACACCAGAGCCCGCTTAGAAACCCGGGCCTGCCGATATCCTTACGACCGCTGAGCTGGGTGAGGTCGAATAGGATCCTGTCACAGCACCGTCACTCCAGATTTGACACCCGTTCTCTGGGGATCAGAATCCGGCCAAAGCAGGTGTGTGGGGGTGGGAGGAGGAGGAGAAAGTTGATGATATTATCGTCAGAGGAAGCAGAAGCGCCTGATGGCAGGGATAAAGGGATTTAAGGCACCCACGCAGGTTTAGTTACAATCAAATCGACACCAGCCCAGTGCCAATGGGACTGGGCTGGGGGGAGGGACGTGCTGCTGCTCTTGATTTCTCCACGCTCCTTGTTCCAGTGGTGAAGGGGTTAAGGCCAAGTGCAGCGCAAACAGTAGACGGTGGCTGGGGATTTTCCATTCCTGTCATGCCTCATTATCTCCCAAGGGGCGGAACTGCCTTCAAGTCCAGGCACTAAGGGAGGCGCGTTACTCAACTGTTGTTTTAATTTAGCCCCTACACAAACAGCTCTGCACAGAGCCAGCGCTTCCTCGGCTGGGGGCGGAGCAGGGGGTGGCTCTTCTGCCCCCCCTTTCCTTCTGGAAAATGTTTATTTAAATAGGTCATTTATGAGGCCCACCTGCTGCACAGATCTGTCTGCATGTGCTGGCTGGTATCTCTCCTTGAAGTGACCCCTCCCCCCCATCCAGATGCCGGCAGCCAGGCTGCGCTGGCTTTGGCAAGGCTCGCTGCGGCCTCGCGGGGCGGGTGGGCTGATCAGCCCTCTCTCCCGTCAGTGCAAGCGCAGAACCCGCTGTGGAAATGGCATGCGGTGTCTGGACAGTGTCCGTGCCCCGCGGCGGGGGGCATGGGGCAGAGAAGGAATATTGGCATGGGCTTCCGGCTCTTCAGGTTGTTCTTGCCAATGTTCCCTCTACTGGTTTCCATCCCTGTGCAGAATAAATGTTGTTATGTGCACCAAGGCACGTGCAGATGTGCGCACCACTAGTAGAAATATATGCTGCCAGCCATGGGCGCTCTGCTCATCAGCTGGGGAGCCTTTGACTCTGGTGGGTGGCAGCTTCCAGGGAACCATGGGAGCTAAGGGCAGAATGGGAAACTGACGAAGCGATTGGTGAAGGCCTTTTCAAGGAGCTCTCTGAGCCCTTGATAACCAGTCAGTGAATTCAGCCTCCTGGTCTCCCCCCTCCGTGGGAGGCAAGTAAAGAGCATCGCCCTGATTGTGCAGATGGGGAAACTGAGATGCAGAGAAGCAGTTTGCCTGAGTCAGTCCAGGACAGAAGTTGGCCTGGAACCTTGGAGTCCAGACTCCCCACCCAGCTGCTCTTGGTAGCAGAACTTGGGAGTCTGGACTCCCTGATCTATGTTTGACCCTTAGACAAAATCCTGCCTCCCTGAGCCAGGAGCAGGACCCAGGAGTCCTGTCTCCAAGTCCCCTTCCCGCGCTAACCTTGTAGGTTGCACTCTGCCCCAGGGGCAGGACTAGAACCCAGCATCCCGTCTCTGAGTACCCGTCTCTCGGGCCAGGAGGATAAAACCCGCCTCCCCCTTTTTATGTGCGGGGTGATTTTGCACAGTGCCAGCTGGCGCGTTTGTGGGGGCAGGTCACAGGGGCTGAGGGCATGAGCTGGCAGGGAGGGGGCAGGATGGGGCTCCCAGGGAGGGGGCAGGATGGGGGCAGGGCCAAGCCACTTTCACCCCGGCTGGCAGGGAGATCGGCTGAGCTGCGGAATCGAAAAGACCCTGGATCCCAAGTCTCTGCCGGCCTCTGAGGGGGGTTCAGATGCCGGGGTCCATCCTCCACCCCGAAAGGAGCTGGGCCACGCATGCTGCCAGCCGTGGGCTGAGCCTGCTCCCCTTGTGGCAGCTGCTGGGACTCTGGCTGGGCATTAACTCGGGCTCCTCTTGATTTGCCGGAGCAGAGCATTTCCGCCTCCCCTCCCGAGAGCCTGCAGGACGAGGAGCGGCCGGGCGGCGCGGGGGTCAAGCGGAAACGGGAGGAGAAGGACCTGCCAGGACATTACGTGAGTGCGGTGCAGGGGACGCGCCAAGAGAGGCAAGGGGAGGGGCCTGCTCAGCCGTCCCCAGACTCTCCCGGTTCAGTGGGTAGGGCACCGCGCTGGGCGTCTAAGGGCCGGAGTTCTAGTCCCGGCCCTGCGGGGTGAGGAGCCGGACGCCTGACGGGAGGGAAGGCTGGGGAAGTTAATCAATCGGGCAGCATCCCTGGGCAGGGATGGGCCTTGCTCACAGACATCACTTGGCTTCCATGTCAATGAGCCAGATTCTGCTGGGGCGACCTGTCGTTGTGCCAGTTTCCTGGTGAGAGTCTGGCCCGCGGGTGGGAGCGCGTGCATCCCAAGAGAGAGCCCTGGGTTGGGGGACGTCCCTGATGCTGTAGCCACACTGGGTTTGCTGGGGCAGTCATACACAGGAACCTGGGGGAGCTCGAGTCTCTACTGGAGTCTTTGGAGGCAAATGGAGAAGAGCTTGGGCTTTGTCCAGAACAGAATCTCTACTCCAGCCTCTCTCATTCGGGGGTCACATAGAGGTAGCATTGCTCAGTGGTTAGTGCACTGGACTGGGGCTTGGGAGACCAGCATTCTTTTCTGACCTGCTGGGCGACCTTGGTTAAGTCACATTGCCTCTCGAGTCTCTACTGGAGTCTTTGGAGGCAAATGGAGAAGAGCTTGGGCTTTGTCCAGAACAGAATCTCTACTCCAGCCTCTCTCATTCGGGGGTCACATAGAGGTAGCATTGCTCAGTGGTTAGTGCACTGGACTGGGGCTTGGGAGACCAGCATTCTTTTCTGACCTGCTGGGCGACCTTGGTTAAGTCACATTGCCTCTCTGTGCCTCAGTTTCCCCTTGCTCTGTCTGGTCTAGACTGATTGCAGCCTGACCATCTCTCGATAGTTGTATGTACAGCACCCAGCACAGCAGCGCCCCAGTCTCAGCTGAGAGCGTTTGGCTCTGCGCTAACACTGCTAACGATTATACCCCTGCCCTGCCTGTGGCTGTTTTTAATGTTGGCTGCATGCTGTGGGATTTGTCTCCCAGATGCTGCAGGTGCTGTGGGGGAGAAAGCCGAGAGATGATGATTATAACAAAACCAAAGTTCCACCTGCTCCAGTGCCGATGGGGGTAGGAAATAACGACTCTGCAGCGCTTTGTAACCAGACGGGACTTTTCAGCCTTATGTACTAGCTTGAAAGTGCTGCAGAAAATATTTGGGAAACCACCTTAAAAAAGAATTCCACAAGGAGACCTTAAATCCGAGGGACTTGTGGGTCTCTGCTCAGCTGACAGACTTTGCTTTTGTGGGGTCAGATCCAAAGCCCCTTGAGTTTGGCAGGGAAACATTCCCCTCGTTTCCATGGGTTTCAGGTCAGAGAGACATGCCAAGAGTGTGGCAAGATCATAAATACCCCTTGGGTTTTTCTAGTGGTTTCCATCTCTTAACATAAAACAAAGGACATCCGTCTCATCAGTCCCATTTTCCAGATGGGGAAACTGAGGCAGACAGCGGTGCCGTAACTGCCCAGTGGCAGAGCTAGGACTAGATCCCAGGTCTTCTGAGTCACACTCAAGTGCTTGAGCCACTAGGCAACACTGCCAAGATCTGGCCTGTGTCGGTGTTTTGCTGTTTTAATTGTTCCTTGCTCTGTTTCCCCCACTGGCAGGACAGCGACGGGGATAAGAGTGATTATAACCTAGTAGTGGATGAGGTGAGTGAGAAGTTTTTAATTAGATCTCCTAAGGCCATGTCTAGACACGCAATGTATATTACGGTAGCGGTACTGGTACAGCTCCAGTCCAGGATAGGTCAGTATAAAAGTAACAGCTACTCCGAAAGGGGAATGAACTCGAGTGGTGTATGGCCCCGCTCGCAGCTGTCCCCATAAAACCATATCTGGGTACTGGTCTGAAATCTGTGTCTAGACCAGGCCTGATGGTAAGTGATGGCAACTCCTGGGCAGATTCACACCTCTCACGGTCCAGCGAAGAGCCACAAGAATGATGAAAGGTCTAGAAGCCATAACCTGGGAGGGAAGACGGAAAGAGTTGGGTTTGTTTAGTTTGGAAAAGACGACTGAGGGGGGACGTGAGAGCAGTTTTCAAGTACATCAAAGGGTGTTACAAGGAGGAGAGAGGAAAATTGTTCTCCTTGGCCTCTGAGGACAGGACAAGAAGCAATGGGCTTAAACTGCAGCAAGGGAGGTTTAGGCTGGACATGAGGAATAACTTCCTACCTGTCAGGGCAGTTAAACCCTGGAATAAATGGCCCAGGGAGGTTGTGGAATCTCCACCATTTGAGATATTTAAGAGCAGGTTGGACACACACCTGTCAGGGATGACCTAGATCCGTGTTCCCTGGCATACCGGTGAGCCGCGGGGCAGTCGGAGATGTGCCGCGAAGAACAACAGAGTTCAAAATGGCCACTGCTTTCCCCCCCCCCTCAATAATCTTCCCCCCAACCCTATATATATATATATATATTTTTTTGCTCAATAACTTTTCCCCAGCCTCTTTTTTTCTTTTTTTGCTCAACAAAAAGTCCTTGGTGTTCCTCATAAAAACAATTGTTGTTTGGGGTTCCTCCGTCTTAAAAAGCTCAAGAAACACTGATCTAGATGGTGCTGTGAGGGCAGGGGACCTCTCAAGGTCTCTTCCAGTTCTAGTGTTCTAGGACTCTACGATCACAAGTCTTGTGATTTTTGCTGGTGTTCGAGAAGCCCCCATTCTGGAAGTCACGTGAACGCATCAGAATCAAGTTTTCTTTAAAAACAAACCAACCAACCCTCAGTTTCCAGCCTTCCTGACTGTGGGGAGAAGCTGGGACACGAGACCTCGGAAAGGCAAAGAGAAAGAACCCCAAAGTTGTTATTTAAAAAAAATCTCACCATGACTTTCTGGGCACGTGAGGTCGGCAACCTGGAGGTGTCTGTCCTGGACACTCGACTGATTTGCAAACAGTCGTTTTGTCTGCCTGGTTGATTATATTGTAGCCAATCAGCAGGCGTTCCCCACTTCTCCCAGCCAATTGCATTAAGAGAGAGCAAGCGAGAATGAATGTGGCTTTGCAATTTGCCTGGGCATTGAAAAGACGAGCCGATTTTCTCCTGAACTTGTGTCCCTCTGCAAAAGCAGGGCTGGATTCTGCTCCCCCACCTGCGTAGCTCTGACGCTTGGGCTCAGACCGGCAGGAGGAGAGCCGACTGCTGCTGGCCCTGCTGGCTGTCTGCGCTGGGTGCCAGTTCACTCCTTTCTGAAAGCTCTGTCGTCTTTCCCGCTGCAGGATCCGCCGTCTGAGCCCAGCAGCCCTGCCCATGCACCCAGCGCCAAGCTCCCACCTGCCCGCAGGGACATGCCAGAAAGCCCTGCCTCCCTGGCCTCCAGCCGGAGCACCACACCTCTCAAAGGGAAGGACCAGAGCCTGGTAAGGTGATGGGCTGCAAGCTGCAGAGGCTGTGGGATGGGGAGGGGACCCCCAGTCTCGCAGGGGGCACTGCCCCTGGTGTCTCTCCTTGCTGCAGCCGAGTGCCTGGCCAATGGGTCTGCGATTGGCACCTTGCAGGCGAGGTGCCGGGAGGTGCCCCGGCTGAAACTCTGGGTCAGGGAAGGAGATGCTGCCCCCACAATCCTGCCTGCTCCTTTCCTCATGACAGGCAACTGCGTGGGCCCCACTGGCCCTTAACCCCTCAAGCCCTTCGTGAGTGCCCATCCTGTTACTCCCTGCCCCCCACGTCCCTGGCCCTGCCAGCCTGCAGGAAAGGACCCTGCCCCCATCCTGCACTGCATTTCCCCCAGCACCCCACATCCCCATGCTGGTTCCCTGCCCAGGGGGCCATGGACTGGCAATGGGGTAAGCAGGGTGTGGGGGGCACAAGGGGCATGCGCCCCCAAACGGAGTGGGCAGGAGGGTGCCAGGCCAGATGCCCCCCACGTCCCTGGCCCTGCCAGCCTGCAGGAAAGGACCCTGCCCCCATCCTGCACTGCATTTCCCCCAGCACCCCACATCCCCATGCTGGTTCCCTGCCCAGGGGGCCATGGACTGGCAATGGGGTAAGCAGGGTGTGGGGGGCACAAGGGGCATGCGCCCCCAAACGGAGTGGGCAGGAGGGTGCCAGGCCAGAGTCTCTGGGCCCCAGGGTTTCTCCTCCTGACACTCCCTTCCTGCCCATGCTGCCAGGGTCCTTCCCTCCGGCTCCAGCCCTGAGCGCCTGCCAGAAGCCCAGGAACCATTCCCCAGAGGGTTAACCCTGCAAGCCACAACACACTGCAGTCACCCCGCTCAGCATGGCCCCTGAGGGCCTCCCCGCACTCCCGGTTAAGGGCGGGGGAGCGAGAGGGAAGGCTTTGGGGGCTTTGCTGCCTAGTGGTTGGAGCAGGAGGGGCCTAGGAGCCAGGACACGCGGGTTCTGTTCCTTGCTCTTTACGCCAGCTCCCCGCCCCGGGTCTCGCCTCAGCCCCTCCGTACCACGTGTAACGCCTGGGGGAGCACCAGCAGGCCCTGACCAATGAGCCTAGTTCGTGAATCCTGCATCCCTGCTATCGCTGGCGCCCCCTCCGGGCCCCCCCCCCCCCCCCGCGGCCTGGCAGGCGGCGCGTGCCGGTCACGGCGCTGGTCACTGGAGCCCGGCTCTGCAGGTATTTTCCATTCGGCTGCCTGCAGAATTCCCCTGGGCTGCGCCGCGTGCTGCGCAATCCATCGATTGGCCCCGCGGCCGCCTGCTTCGCCGATTGAAACATCAGCAGGCGAGCGGCCTGGGAGCGAGGCTATTGATTGCACCGTCAGCCCTAGCCTAGCCCCCACGGGGAGGAGCGAGAGGGTCCAGCAGGAGCAATCTGCCGGCTGCAGGGGTTCGGGAGCCTTGTTAGCGCTGCTGGCCTTTCTCTGGGACAGTCTGATTGGAGCAGGCAAAAGGCCCTGAGTGGTGTGAGCTTTGCAGCCCCCACTTGGATTTCCACCCGAGGAAGGCAGATCTGGGATCGTGCAGCGGCACCGCCAGCAGGGCAGGGTGGCTGGGAAAAGGGCCCCATCCTGCAAGGGGGCTGGTTGTCAGAGATGGGCCCCATCCTGCAAAGAGCTGGTGTGCGCAGCCCGGGGGTGGGGGCTGCATGCAGTTGCTCTGTGCGGGCATTACATGGAGGGGGGGTTCTCTTTGGGAGTCAAAACTCTGGTGGTGGGTGTCCCAGCTCCAGGCAGGAGGGGGCTCCAGTCCTAGGGGTGGACGCTGTGCGAGGGGCTGGGAGCCGGGACTCCTGGGTTCTTTCCCCAACTCTGGGAGGGCAGCGGGTTCTAGTGGTTAGAGCAGGGGGGCTGGGAGCCGGGACTCCTGGGTTCTTTCCCCTGCGTTTGGGGGTTCTTGGCTAGCAGGCCCCAAAGCAGGGCACCGTGAAAAATGCCTCCCTATCTCCTTTCCACTGTAGAACGATGTCTCCGCCAACACTCCCGCCTCCAAGTCCTCCAGCTCCTCTCCACCACGGGACTCCGTAACGCCCGGCCCCAGCTCGGCCTCCCACCTCCGGCAACTTTCCTCCAAGCCGCCTGCTACCGACACCATCAGTGAGTCTCTCTAAGGCGTCTGTGTCCTTCTGAGACACTGCCTGGCCTCATCACAAAGCACATGTGTGCGTGCAGGAGTGGGTGGTGTTCTGTACACATCAGCTGATGCAGTCACCCATGTACAGGGCTCTGGATTTCCACCTGTATCACAGCCAATTTTATGAAAGTGATTCTGCTGTGGAATACAGTGTGTCAGTCACTTACACTGACAGGCGTGATGCATCAAGGTGCCGGGAGCCTGCTGTGGCATGCAAGGCCCTCCTTGCTTCTCGGGTCTGGGTCCATCATATGGTTTGTGTCAACTGGTGGGACTCACTGCTGCAGGAATTCAGAGCCACAAAAATTTAATCTGTATTTTGGAAAGGGCTCCACATTGTTTTCTGACTAATCATATTTCTGGTTCTGCATGTGAAAACAAGGCTGAGCAAGGCACATTGGCTGGTGGGCTCAGGAAAGAGCTGGCAAGGGAAGGTTGTCTTTTAGGGACTGCTCTGCCACAGACTCTTTGCATGGCCTGGAGCAAATCATTTAGGCCCAGATCTTCAAAGGCACCTAACTCATGGGCCTTAAGCTCCCTGTGCCAGCCGTGAAAAAGAGATTTCATCTCCTGTGTTTGCGAAGTGCCTAGTAACAAAGAGCCCCCGGGGTTGGGGCCGGTGGGACCCTGGGATAATGATACAATTATTTGATCCTAATGTATTTACCTCCCCACCCAAGGCGAATGTTGCAGGAGGGCCGGGGGAACCGGGGAGGCCGGGGGGGCCGCCTCTCCTTCTGGCACATCAGACCCTGACCCCTCCCAGAGACCAGGGTGCTGTGAGCTGGCGCCGGATTTCTCTGTGGGGTTGTGCGTGTGTGGGGTGGATTTCTCTGTGGGGTTGCGTGTGTGTGTCCACAGCAGTGGGGAGCAGCCCGTGGCCGCGTGTGGCCCATTGGGTTCTACGTGTGGCCCGCGAGATGTTTGGTTGCCGTGGCCCCCGTGCCACTTTCCACGGGCTTCTGTCCATAGCTTCTCCCTACCAGTGCGACTAAAGGGACACGCACGTAAAGCCAGGGCCCGGGAAGCGAGGTGCAGGCTGACTGCACCCAGCGCTGACCGTGAGAGCCGGGCACTGCCCCTGCACCCAGCGCCGACCGTGAGAGCCGGGCACTCCCCCTGCACCCAGCGCTGACCGTGAGAGCCGGGCACTCCCCCTGCACCCAGCGCCGACCGTGAGAGCCGGGCACTCCCAGAGCGGAAGGCCGTCG